TATATACACATATATATATATATAACTCATGAATAAACCTTGTCTAAGATGAATAAATGTAGGAATTGTCTACAAAGAGACCAGTTATCCTTTGTATAAATAAGTTACAACTATTTTCACTCATTAGATATCAAATTGGATGGCTTGCAGTGAGTGACGAAGTCCGATTTTTTTTTTTTAGAATTTTGTAGCTAATCAATGACACTCTTAGAATTAGCTATTCTGAAGTACCTTTTTTTTTGTCTAACATATGAATTATTCTAATGTTCGATGATGAATTATTTTTAAGATAAAAAATTTCTTTTTTTTTTTTATGTCTAAAATTTAAAAGTCAAGAGGATGGATTTGAGGGTTTTCCGGCATAAAAACAACCTTCAATAGTGGGGATTTTACATGTACCATACTCATTGAGACCTTATATAAACTTTTTCCTTAAACAAAGTACCGAAGGTTCCTTTGTCAATTGGGTATAGTGGGGATTTTACATGTACCATACTCATTGAGACCTTATATAACCTTTTTCCTTAAACAAAGTACTGAAGGTTCCTTTGTCAATTGGGTGGATAAAAAAGTCCAAGGTTCATTTGGCTTATTTTCTCATAAAATATCAAACTCACTCTCTCTCTATATATATATATATATTTCACTTCAACCAAAGAGCTTTGGTCGCTTTCTCCCCCTCTTTGAACACTTACTGTTTGGAATTTTGCAGCCGTCCATTATCGAATGCTCTTATTCGGGTAAAAGGCCCAAACAACCTATTAAACAACTTCTATAAATGCACATTAATACCAAAAATGTCTTTTTAAATTTTTAAAACGAGTGCCCCTCAATAGCCAGAATGACATTGACGCCCCCTACATCTTACTAGGGGAATTTGTTGAGATATATTTAACTTATCAATTATTTAAAGTTTTATTCATTTTCAACTCGTCTAACTCATGTCATATGTATTTTAAAGGATTTTTATAAATTAAATGAAAAATACAAATAAAATGTTAAAAAGTTAAATAACATTACACCCAAGTGACACATTTGAAAGTATAACACCTTAAGACTTATTAATTATCATTTTTCTAAACTCAAATTATTTGAAGAGCAAAAATTTGCTCCTTCCTTCAAAGGCCACATTCAGAAAATTTTTAGGCCAACTTGGACTTGCTCGAGTCGAACTGATAAGCGAGTTGGGCAATTCTCTCTTGAAAAACTCCATAATCATTAGTTCTCTCAATTTTTTCATGTAATTTATACTTTCTTATTAAAAGCTACCCAGTCTAACTCTGACTCTTCTGAATAGGCTAGGGGGACTTAATCTTAGTGAGTTGGAACTCATGTCTATAACTTCTATTAAAATCAAAATTCTTAGGTGGATTGGAAAATTTCATATTAAAAACTATCTCCCTATTAACTATTTTGTCATAGTTAAAATGTAGAGATGGTTAGGGCTCATCAGTAATATTTTGAAAAGATAGGGGCCGCATTTAAGAAATGATTGGGCCTCTTTCCTAATATCTTGAAAAGAATAGGGGTGTTTAACTTCTCTCTCTACAAACTCATTTAACTCTGCATTCTGCAAGTGCTTCCGGGTCCTCAATCGCAGAAAAAGAAAGAGGAGAAAATGAGAATACTTAAACAATCAATTTACAGATTTCATTGCTCATTTCCATGAAGATTCAATACCCCTACACCCCTACCTAGAGAGAGAGAGAGTTCTAGTCTGATGAAGAGGTACAGAAATGGAGAAATCTGGGATTTTGAGGTAGAAATGCCGTTAACTCCCGATGGGTCTGAGGTTATATTGGGGCTCGATGGAGGAACGACCTCCACTGTGTGTATTTGCATGGCCATGCCCTATTTCAATGAAGTGCCAGACCCTTTGCCTGTTCTTGCAAGAGCAGTTGCAGGTTGCTCCAACCACAACAGCGTTGGAGGTACACTGCAATTCACCATGAACCCATCTTTCTCATTTCTTGTTTTCTGTCTTTGATGGTTTGTTATAGAGAGAAAGAGAGATAGTTGATTTGAATGTTTGACTTGACACTTGCATTTTGTGGTTGATAGATGATTTTGTTTGGTAAATGAGAGAGAGAGAGAGAGAGATGATTTGAATGATAGATACTTCTATTTTGTGGTGGATAGAAGATTTTTTTTTGGTGAATTGGAAATTATGTCAGTTATTTAATTTGGCATGTCCCTAGAGAAATGTGTGGCTTGGTATAGTTGGGTATTTATATTGGCAATGCTTGTTGAAATAGAGTGATTTTCGTTCATACATTTTTTTATCTCTTGCTATAATTAATGAAATTGGAATAGAAGCATGTTTAATTGTCGTATTTGTTTTCTTGCAGAGAATTGGAATTGGATTTTTTTATCTGTTGCTATAATTAATGAAATTGGTATAGAAGCATGTTTAATTTGCAGTATTTGTTTTCTTGCAGAGAATTGGAATTGGATAGGGTGACAGAATTTCTTTTTATGGCTATTTTTATGATAATCAAGGTTGAAATTTTTTTGAGTAATTTTCCAGTAGGTATCTTCATTTTAAAGTGTTGAGCTTTTTAAAGGTTTATCTTCTTCACTGGGAAAATAGGCAACAAACCCTTGGGTATTATGTTCCCTTACTAAGCTCAAATTATTCACCAAACTTTCATATGGTTTCCTTTTCTCTGTTGGAATTTCAGAGCTCAGTATCACCCATGCAATGAAATGATCTTAGCCATATCGTCTCAATGAAATTAGGCGACTAAGTGTTGTGTATTCTCTTCCCTTAATGGGCTTAAATTATGATATCATAATTTCGTATTGTATTTTTTTTTCTTTTGGGAATTTAGAGCTCTTCATTAAGGTTACAGCATAGATGCAACTAGCTGATGGTATGTGCATGGCACGTTGGTATAGTTTGAATGAAAAGTGTCTTTGAAGATATCCAAATTCAATAAAAAATAATCTTATTTGTTTAATTATTGAGTCTGTCAATATTTTTTCTGGTAGCTTTTTTTCAAATATTTATTATAATTATTCACTTTTAAGTTAATTTTAATTTTATATTTAATTTAATTTCTTGAATTTAATTTTTTTAATTCTTTTCAAATATCGACATTCATTGTGTTGAGATAAGTGTTGTTGTTTTGATAACTGATAGGAACTACTTTGTCAGGAATGCCTATTTAACTGAAATGTTCATGGCTTTTAGAGAGGGAGTTTATTGCACTCACTGGATATTTAAAATGGTTGATTTAATTGGAAATCTTATTTTAGTGGGAATTCTTGTCTTAGAGTTTAGTGAGTGAAAGAGTGATTTTAGAAAACTTGTGTCGTTGCATGCCAGTTTAGTAACTTCCTCCAGTATGTTGCTCTGCAATGGCCTGAAGATCGTTGGTTACTCGTTGTTTGTTGTGGTAACTGATTGACAGTTCAAAATATTGACTTAGAGAAACTTTGTTTGCTAAAAGAACATCCTTGTTTGAATGTTGTTGTTCGTTGTTGTATTGCTTCATCACAAAATTACACATCAAAAGAGGGGATTAAAAAACAAGAAAAACAAAAAAAGAATTAAGGTAAAAGGGATGTTTTTGGGCACACTGGAAAGGCTGTGGGAATTTCCTCCATTTGCTAGACCACAAAAAGACTCATGCTCAATAATAGATATAACTCTTGAGATTTGCTCAAGGCACAGGTGGTCAGGGTGGCAAGTACCACAACATGATGTCTTGTTCCATTCACACCAGGGCACAAGTTATCATTAAAAAAAGGAAAAAAAATCCAGATTTATGAAGGCAACTCTCTTACTCCATGACGCTAGGATTTTTTAAACAAAGTTTCTGAGCTTTTCCGAGCATAGGTATCTCTAGAGATGCTTTACTTGTGTCTTTGCTTACTACCCTTGTTTGTGCTATTATAAATACAAGGCAGGAACCCATTTATGTCATGATTACTGTAATTATTCTCATATCAGTCTCTAATTATATAGCTCATCTCTGTTTTTTGTTTAGAGTTTGAAACTATACTATGATCCAATGGACTATGAAAAAACCCTTATTTTGAGCTAGATGATGATTGGTCTATTTCCCACTCTACTTCTTTGTCTACCTATAATAGTTGCAATTTGATGTATACAGCTTCTATAAATTTATGGTAATTATCACAAAGAAAAAGTGTGCTTTCCTATTGATCAAGAAAGAAACACTTAATGGTATTATTCACATTCTTCCCTAATTTATCATGTCACATTCTGCAGAAACTGCAGCCAGAGAAACACTGGAAAAGGTTATGGCAGAAGCCCTTTTTAAATCTGGGTCCAATCGCTCTGCAGTCCAAGCCGTTTGTTTAGCTGTATCTGGAGTCAACCATCCAACAGATGAGCAACGCATATTGAACTGGCTTAGGTTTGTTGGTGACTTTTTCTCTTCCATAGAAGTAAAACAGTTCAGGGGTGTGAAACTGATTGTTATGAGTTTGTCAATCAGTGGGCATTATCTTCTAGGTTGTGAGTTCTGGTTTGAACTCAATTGGTTTCTATGTATTTGTACTTGAAGTTCCATTTGGTGGACATATCTATACTAACTTTTGTCATTTGGTGGATAAACTTTGATAAATGTCTTTCTGCTTATGCTTATTTTTCAAAGATAGTTATTAACATCAATAGTATTGTTTTTAAGATATATACTCTATTAGTCCAAAGTTCAAATCATTATTATAAGACTTCGACTTGACCTAGCCATATGGCTGGTTGACTTGGGACCCAGAATTGGTGTGCCTCATCTAATTAAAAACACAACCAAGAAGAAACTTGAGAAAATACCTTAGAGGATGACCAGACCTTGGGTGTATGGGTTCTAGATAGCTGTGTTTGCGTTCATATGTGTATGTTTTGGCCCCTTTGAAAACCCGAACAATGCAGACTTGGCTACGCTTTGAAGATTTGGTGAAGTCTCATGAGATTCATTAAAGTCTCCTAAATTTTCCTTGGGTGTACGTGTTTCACGATGATGTGACTCAGGACTAGTCTGAGCCAAGATGATAAATCTTGAGTCAAAAACTGAATTTTAATCCATTGAGTTCTGGTCATCTTAAGTTTATCGTTTCCAAGTTCCCTTCTTGATATGCATCATCTGTTTTCGAGTTTGAAGCAGGGTTTGGTTTAACACTATATATACACGCATTCACACTAGCTTTTGTTTTTTAACACAATCAACATAATTTGGCAAGGATTTTGGTTAGAACTTGCTCATTATGCAACTTACAAGTTTATAATTCAAACTATATTTGCTTGTAGATGCACAGTCTGTTGGAATTGCGAAGTTATATATTGGGATGGGAAGTACCTTAAAGGAATATCAATGAATATCAATGGGACAGTTTACTGCAAGGCCCATTAATCTGAGAAAGTTATCAGCATATATCTGATATCTTTAATGATCTTTTAAGCTTTTTTATTCATGAATAAGAACATTGTATGTCTCTATTATATGATAAATTATTGTAGCTTCTTGATTGCAGAGACATCTTTCCAAGTCATGTCAAGCTATATGTCCAAAATGATGCTGTGGCAGCTCTGGCAAGTGGAACAATGGGAAAGCTCCATGGATGTGTTTTAATTGCTGGTACAGGAACCATTGCTTATGGGTTCACAGAAGATGGAAGACAAGCTCGAGCTGCTGGTGCAGGGCCTGTTCTGGGTGATTGGGGAAGGTAAGCATATTCATCCTAGAATGCTAAGATGAGTTGTCGTAAGTTTATTAGAAGTTCAATATCTGCCCCATACATGGGAATGGGGAGTGGCTGAGTTCAGCTGATAAACTAAAGTTTCGAGTCCTGGACTACATTAAACCGGTAAAACAATAATCACAGATTGCAATCCTTTCAGTGTTTTCCAGTAGGTGTAGTTCTTCGGATCTGTACTTCTCTAGGCAGTGTTATGAAGACCTGACCAGTCACTGAACTAGTGACGCTACCAGTCTGATCCAAACCTATCAGACTGTCTGGTTCACTGGGTTAGACAGGTTTGGAAATATATAAAAAAACTAAAAAATTTAGTCAAAATGGTCTGAACCGGCCCGGATCGGGACCCCTGAACCAACCTGTTGGAGTACCAGTTCATCGGTTCCCAGTCTGAACTGACTGTCCTGTCCAATCTTGATTGCATTTGCTGTAGTTTAATTGGAATAAATGCTTTATGACTCTTTAAATTACATGCACCTGGTCCTATACCCCATCCCATCCATAGTTACACCCAAATATGTGCATTCATCAACTAGAAAGCAAAAATAAATCATCTAGGTTAAATTAGCTTATTTGTGCACAAGGTGCTTAAACAGAAATGACACTGAAGACAAGAGGTCCTAAGCTCAGCTAGAATCCCAACTGGCAATCTAGATAATCCCAACTGGCAATCTAGATAACCCAACTGGTTCAGATAATTATATATTTTTTCTTTTTTTTTTTGAGAATGACATTCAGATAATTAATCAAAGGAATGATAATAAGTTCCGAAAGAGATCGTACTATTGTAGAACACATTTGAGCTTCATTCCAAGAACAGTTGTTTTTAAAGGAGCAACAAGTTGCACTTCTCAAGAAATGTGTGTGTGTGTATGTGTGAACAAATGTTTGTGTTAAGGCCTTAAAGGCAGTTGTTCTCACTTCCACAATTTATGCAACTGATGCATTACCAAGGTAAACTTAGTTGATGTCAACAAATAGGTGGAGTAAATTTTGTACCTCTGATTGGCTCTTGGGGGACTGGGAGATCTGTTGATATTTTTATATGTGATATGATATTTACCCGTTGTCTATGGTTCAAGGTCTTATTTCTTTCTTTCTTTAGATAAATATATATTCTCAGATTGTTATTTAAGAGATCAGATTCATCGTGATACATCTATTGTGCAGTGGTTATGGGATTGCTGCTCAAGCATTAACAGCAGTAGTAAAGGCTCATGATGGTCGAGGGCCTCAAACAATGCTTACTTCTAGCATCATACAAAAGCTTGGGCTTTCCTCACCAGATGAAGTCATCGGGTATTGTACTTTATATTGATAAGCTATTTTGTAAGACTTTTGGATAGTTGGCATTCTTACATTTATATCTGCCCTCCTTAATTAGCTGTGAGCTTTCAATTTTGTGATTATTTTTGTGATTATATTGACTGGGATTCTTTCTTATGGAAATGTGTATATTGTGACAATTATATCAGCACTTCCTTTGGGCCCTCATATATCTTGGACTATGATACATGGATGTTTCTGTTTCGATACTCAACCTGTGTCGAACACATATTGGCACTCAAACCAAAACAGATTCTTCTTGTTTGAAGACTTTTAATTGCACCTTTGATATAGACTTGATCATCTTCTTCGTTTTGAGTGACTCAATTTAACTTTGAAAATCTTATGGATTCAGCCAACTAAGGCATAAATGTTTCTTTTCGCTACTCATCATGAAACGGAATATTACTAAACAATGCTGGATTTCGTTGTCACTTTATAATATAGCCATGTCACTGAATGCTATTATCCATGGCATGAGGAATCCAGAACGCCTTGTACCTGTCTAGCTCATAAACAAGTCCAGATCATTATTTGGTTTTTGTTGATGCATATGAATATCAACTTACTATGGTTCTGTTTTATTCTTGATAATCAAGAAAGTTACCTTAGTAATTTGCAAACTAAAAGTCATTCAGCAGCTGTAATCTACTCAATGACTTCGACCCAACTTAGGCGGCTGATTATATCCTTTATCTGAGTGAGGGTTAGAAATTCAAATATAGATCTTTCTCAAAAAACGAAAAAATTTCAAATATAAATCTGTTTTACATTTTTCTTTGTCATATCAAAGGAATATGATTATGTTAGCATTGTTTTCTTTTAATGGGTTAGAATCCCATCCCCCTTAACTTCTTCTCCCTGGTAATTTTGGTTTTTCACTCTTTTAGGGCACGTTTGTTTTTCTAAAAGAAATCTTTCTAATTTTCTAAAAGTTCCGCGTTTGACACACAGTTTCGTCTAAAAGTTCAAAAAGTAATCTTCCAACAAAAGTTCCCATTCCTTTGTTAAAACGTGAAAGATTAAGTTCTTAGGGGGGAAGGGGGTTAGGAACTTAATCTTTCATAATGTTTTTGTTTATCACCATACACTATGCATAATATAAATACATAAAATTAGTATTATTAATATGATATAATATAATATAATATTACTATAACATGATATTATATAATATTTATAAAATATAATATAATTTTATGTTATATATTATATATTTATATTTATTTATTAATGTAATTTATATTATATAGTATATATATTGATTATATATTTTATGTACTATATAATATTAATATATATTAATATTATATTATATATTTATGATATTATGTAATGGAAAATGGTTTGATAGGGCTGCAGCCCTATCAAAGTAAGTGAAGCCTCACCCCATAACTCATCCAAAATTACAATTCAAGAATTGGAAAACCTTTGCCTTGATCATCTCGACTTGAACACTGTGGTTGTGAAAAAAATTAGGATTTCGAGCTCTAAAATAGTTTATATTGTAACAAATTATCTAGACCGTCTGTTTCGCCTTAAAAATAAGTGTTCACAGATCCGTAAGATCTGTACCATTTTTTTAGTTTCAAATTTTATTGTGGGTGTTGGAAATTAATTTTAGAGCCATCATGGAGATTTCTTTCGTCGAAAGTGCTTTCCGGACGAGGATTTAAGGTGAGGCTTTATTTTGTTTTCATAAAGCCTAGGCCTTATAGAAACCTCTTCCTTATATAATATATATTTATTGAAAAATGCTGAGATTAGCCCACTAGCTCATATGAACATATGAGTTCATATGAGCCCAATGGCCCAAATGAATCTGGGCCGATCTGATGGTCATGACCACACTTCGTATTTTAATATTAATTTTAATTTTTTTTCCAAAAATTCAAATAACTAGATATTTTAGGCATGTGTTCTTCAAAAATAGGATAATCTAATAAAAATATCAAAAAAATAATTTACAAGAAATAAATTGACCAAAATACCCCTGAAAAGTTTTAGGGGTACTTTGATCAATTTATTACGAATTATTTTTTCAATATTTTTATAAGGTGCGCCTTGATGAGAAGAATGGACGCCTAAAATTTCAAGTTATTTGAATTTGTAAAAAAAAAATTAAAATTCAAACACAAAATGAGGTTGTGACCATCAAATCAGCCCAGATTCAATCTGGGCCGTTGGGCACATATGTTCTTATGAGCTAGTGGGCTAATCTCAGCATTTTCCATATTTATTATGTCATATATATATTGGTGTTTATTATATTATATATAATATTATATTACTATATTATATATTAATGTATAAATATCTTATATTATATTATAGAGAAATGATCCTATAGGACCCTCCCCACCCATGTGTGTAAGACCCCAAAGGTTCACCATTAAATTTGGCACGGATCTATAGAAAAGTCAAGTCCCACACTCATGTGATAATTTTTCTAGAGATCTGTGCCAACTTTAATGGTGATTCTTTTGGGGTCCTACACACATGGGTGGGGGAGGGTCCTATAGGATCTTTACTCTATATTATATATAATATATATTTATTATAGGAAAAATTTTATATAGAGCCTAGCTCTAAACAATCAAATTAGAGCCTACCACAAAAATTGCAATAGAAGAGGTTGTTTTGATGGCCAAATATCCTCAAATTGATCATCAAGATGCATAGACATGAGAAAAAAATAGATTTCAAGTTCAAGAAATAGTGCATATTGTAGTACATTTTTGGACCATCAATTTTCAAGTTTTCATAGATCTAACCCTATTTTTGAAGCTTTAAATTTTATAATTAAAGATGAAAATATATTTTAAAGCTATCGCAAAGATGTCCAATATTGAAACCACATTTCTCGACTTTATTTGAAGGTGGGTTCTAATTTGATTGTTTAGAGCCTCGGCTATATACAAACCACACTGTTTATTATATTAAATATATCTTATATAGAATATTTATATTATAATATTATCTAATATATAAATATCTTATATTATACTATATATTATAAATAATGTATTTATTATATTAAATATATATTATGTATAATATATATAATATCAATGTCTTTTACTATACTCTATATGATATATATTTATTATATTATATATAAGGGAATGGATTTTGTCAGCCCATAGGCTAATAGCTACAGTGTCAGCTGAATTTGGGCTGATGTGACGGTTACGACCTCATTTTGTATTTGAATTTTCAGTTTTTTTCTACAAATCAAAATCATTTGAAATTGTAGGGGTTCATTCTTCTCATCTAGGTGCACCCAATAAAAATATAAAAAAAAAATCACAAAATAGAAATTGACCAAAATCCCCCCGAAAAGTTTTGGGGGTATTTTGGTTAATTGATATTTTACAAATTATTATTTTTTTATATTTTTATTAGATTATCCTATTTTTGAAGAATAGACACTCTAAATTTCAAATGATTTGGATTTGTATAAAAAAATGAAAATTAAAATATGAAATGAGGTCGTGACCATTGGATTGAGCCTAAATTCAATCTGGGCTGTTGGCTGACATTGTAACTATCAGCCCATAAGCTGATAGGATCCTTTCCCTATATATAGTATATAAATATCATATATTATATTATAATAAATATTATATTATATGTTATATATAATACAAATATACATTAATAAAATACATTATATTATATTGTCAATATATATATGTTATCAAATATAGTACCCATAACTTATTTAAACCTTCTAAAGCAAAACATTCAACTTTCCAGAAGATATCTTTCAAAAAAAACAAATGTGCCCTTAAGTAAAGGCAAAGAGACGCATTAGAAAAACTTTTGGTCTATGCTAGCTTAAGTTTTTCCACCCCGTTTTGTCATTATGGAGGCTTTTGGTCTACAATGGCATTAAGAAACTCTTGGCCATGCAATCTTTAGAAAACTAAGAGGATTGGAAAGGTCATGGGATTTTTGGAATTTGTTAGATTTGTTGAAGTTATTTTATCATTGTCAAAGCTTTTTCCCAACTAATTGGCTACACAAATCCTAGTTCGTCATTCAGCTCTAGTAAGGGTCATACCCTCAGTGAGGCCATAAGTCCCATATTTTTTTATTACTTTCAACCATGTCTTTTTGGGCCTACCCCTTGCCTTTTCTGAGGCTCCCACTTGAAATAACTCGCACCTCCTAGCGGGTGTTGTACTAGATGTGCGCCATACATGGCCTGCCCACCTAAACCTACTCTCTCTCTTTTTATCGCTATTGGTGCCACACCTAAAATTTTTTAAATATATTCATTTTGAACTCTATCCCTTCTTGTCTTGTCACTCATCCATCTCAACGTCCTCATCTATGCTACACTCATTCTATGATTATATTATTTTTTGACTGTCCAACATTCTGCCGTATAGAATAAAGCTGATATCACATCTGTCCTATAGAACTTGCCCTTCAGCTTCATTGGTACGCGGTGATAACATAAAATTCGGATTACACATCTCCACTTCGTCCACCCAGCTCTAATTGTATTTGCTGAAGTTACTTGATTCCTGCAAATTATGGATTCCATAAGATGGATGAATGAGCTTTTTTATTACTAAATATAGCATATCTGTATTCTGGATTTTCATCAGAGTCTTGGTGATTTCTTGATAATCATTGGCATTTTGGTAGGTCTATGTGCCTCTCATTGTTGGTTTTAATACCATGGTGATGGTATATCAGCCAGATTAATTGCTTGTTTAGTTGCCTATACTTCACCTCTTCCGTACATTCATACTTGCTCCTAAGATTAATTGCTGCTTCCTGATTTCCTTTGTGTTCTATTATTTGGAGATAGGTGGACATATGCAGATCCTTCTTGGGCTCGTATTGCTGCCCTTGTTCCGGTGGTTGTGTCCTGTGCAGAAGCCGGTGATGAGGTTGCAAATAGAATTTTACAGGATTCTGTGCAGGAGTTGGCTGCTAGTGTTAAGGCTGTTGTCCAAAGACTTGGTTTGAGCAGTGAAGGTAAAGCATCACGAACTAAAACCATTCATTGACTGGTAAACAATGGACATAGTATACTAGAATTCACATAGTATACTAGAATTCAATGGACCGTGGAAATCACATTCCTTTGGGGTTAAGTAGCCAGTGATGGAGGGAGGGTGAGACCCATGTGAACAGAACAAGACAAATCGGGGTTCCACACACTATTTTCATCCATGATTTCATTGGACAGTGATTATTCCAAGAGACTGTTATATTCCTTCATTGGATTATAGTTTCCCTACTCTAAAAAATGCCCTGCTAATCAAAATCGTTCAACAATGAACTGCCATATTACTTGCGCAGATAACCATTGTTAGCCATTGATCTAGATTGTGACTTCTGTTTTGCTGTATGTGTGGTGAGTATGCATTTAAATCACTGTTGGCTGTATGGCGCGATCAATCACTTGATGCGAATCTGGACCATAACCAAATAAATGCTTTTCTTTATCGAGTGCCTGAAGTAGAAATATTAGATCTGGCTTTTGCAGGTGTATTTGAAGTTCTGGTGTGGTATTTGTTTGGCAGATGGGAGGGATTCTTTTCCACTTGTTATGGTCGGGGGTGTTCTTGAGGCTAATAAGGGATGGGATATTGGGAAAGAAGTCATAAACTGCATCTCCAAGGACTTTCCAGGTGCTCGTCCAATTCGCCCCAAGGTTAGTAGTACCTTGGAACATTTGTTACTTCAGTTTTTCTGTTTTGTGTGATCGATTTGATCCATTCAAAGTTCCAAACTAGTGTTAGAGAGAGAGAGAGAGAGAGAGAGAGTTCTTATTCTTGCCTGACTGTCACACAGGTGGAGCCTGCAGTTGGAGCTGCAATGCTGGCATGGAATTTCCTTTTGAAAGAAACAAAAGGTAATGTCAAAAGCTGAGGGCCGCAAGCAACTCAGCTCTGCACTTTGGAAAGTCCATTTGATTGTACAGTTTGGTTGAGTTTTAATGATGTGGGAGAAAGGAATCCACCAAAAGCAATGGGGAAGGGGACAAAAAAAGAAAAAGGTGCAATGATTCTTTGCACTTTGTAAAGTCGGTATTTCCTAATCCAAGTTGGGTTTTCATTTTTTCTTCATTTCTTTGGCTTCCCTTTTTTTTTTTTTGGTGTGTTGGTCTATTGCCTTTAATATTTTATTTTATTTTTAATCAACAATTGGCAGAAGGACATTCCTATCTGGTGCTTCTATAGGTTGGCAAGGCTGATTTCTTATCCAATTAATTGCATTGATGTCTCATGTAAGTTGAGCTTGCTTGGGAGTTTCTCTCTCCTTAAAAATGTGATAATAGTCCTGTACTACTAGGCAAATGAATGTTGGAGATGTAAGTTCAGTGTGAAACTGCTTCTTGGTTAGCTCTATCCTGGTATCTCCCATCCATATTTAGCAGATCACCTAACAGCAATAAATCTGTGGGCAAGAAACCGGTATCGATTTGTTTTTGCGGAAATAATGACCTGAAAAAACCGGTATTTATTCATTTTTGTGGAAAAAATGACCCCAATTTTTGTGTTGCGTGAAAGAAACTTTGAGATAGGAAGACACTGGTTATTTCAGATTTGCGTGAAAGAAACTTTTTTATTAGACTGGTAAAAGACAGGTACATGTGTGTTTTTGTGTGGATTAGTAAAAATAACAAGTTCCAAGTAAAACAGAAACCGATTTTATCAAGTGGAAGATTATCATCAAGGCCTTGTCATTTTAACCAATAAAATTC